TTATAATGAGATACTATCTCAATATAATGAGATAGTATCTCATTATAATGAGATGATTTATTTATTTTTTCTTTTACAGAGTGGCGGAAACGGGCTTCCATACTCTATTGTAGTTGTATTTGAATATCCAACTTAAATGTTTTCATAAATCATTAAAAAACTCAATAAAGGAAAAAAAGAAAATCCCAGTTTGCTCCCAGGCCCCGCCCCCTCCTCTCCCCGGGGAGAGTAGTGGGCGGGGCCTTCCTCTACTCCAGCCAACCTCTGCTCAAAATGCCTGGAATTCCATTTCCGCTTTAGGGAGGGGACGTTTTTTTTTTTAATCACTAAACTTTCTACTGAACTTTAATTTCACGTCTATCTGGACGGTCTGCTTCCTGCTAAATCGGATTAATCCCTGGTTTTCAAACATGGCGTCCTCTCCTCAGAAGTCTCCTTCTTCTCCAAAATCTCCGACGCCCAAATCTCCGTCCTCCAGAAAGAAGGATGACTCTTTCCTGGGAAAACTTGGTGGAACTCTGGCGAGAAGGAAAAAAAAAGAAGGTAAACATTCAACTAGGAAAACAATTATCTTTCACCTCCTCTGCTTGTTTAAACCACCCAGTTAGTCGAATAATTTTAACTATTCATGTTTAAGAGCCAAATTGTCGCATTTTAAACCCTTCTAAATGAACCTCCAACACTCAGTAAAGTTTAGAAAACTATCCCAACGCGTTAAGCACTTATTAAATGTTGAAGCAACTGAAAAGAAGCTGTGCTGTGCTTGTTTTCATAGCCGCAGGCTGTCTTTGTCCATGTATGGTAGTAAATCCTCCATTACTGTAATATGTGAGGAATGAGGCCTGGCTGAGGAAACTCTCTCCATCCAGCTGGGATTTCACTAACAGATTTTAATTATCTAAAATGCTCAGAGGATCAACAGTGTAGGTTTCCATCTAAAAATGTATGTTTTATATCAAATATGATTGAAATATCTAAATATACAGAATATTTAGGCTATTAATTGCCCTGTCTTTATGGTGTTATAATGAGTCTATGTTGTTTAATGTCTTACTGCAAAATGTATAAAAAGTTTATGATCTGTCAAGAGGCAGTTATAGTGTGTTGTGTTGGTGCAGTGGAAGCACTGCTGCCTTGCAGCAACAAGGTTCTGTGTTCGATTTCCGGCTGGGGTCTTTCTGCATGCAGTTTGCATGTTCTCCCTGTGCATGCGTGGGTTCTCTCCGGGTACTCCGGCTTCCTCCCACAGTCCAAAAACATGACTGTTATGTTATTTGGCCTCTCTAAATTCTCCTTACGTGTGAGTGTGTGCATGAATGATTGTTTGTCTCTGTGTTTCCCTGCGATGGACTGGTGACCTGTCCAGGGTGGACCCCGCCTCTCACCAGTAGACAGCTGGAAATAGGCACCAGCACCCCTCAGAAAATGGATGGATGTTCTAGTAAAGAGGCTCACAACACTAATATTTAGCTCATATGCTGCAAAATTGCAAAACTTATTACATATATTTATATATGTGTGTGTATATGTATATATATTAGATATATATATTAGAGGTGTAATGGTACAAAAAACTCATGGTTCGGTACGTACCTCAGTATGGACCCTATAGTACATTTTCTGTACAGTGCAGAAAAAAACATGACCTAAAGGCTATCCTCAAAGGCAGCTTTTTATTATTTGAATTCCCAGCTGAGATAGCTGAAACTTTCTGTAAAACAAGTGAACAAGCACCATATTGTCAAATATTGATATACATGAAAGGAGTATATTTATAAGTACCTGAGTGCCACACATGACCTTTCTGGGTATTTTAACATAGGCTATAATACAAGAGTGCCCTTTTACATTCACGTGGCACGGTAAATTTTTTGGACTGCATGTATTCGTATCATGGGGTTGTAATGCATTTGGGAGTTGTGATTGGACACTTTTCTTCCGTCTCATGCCGGTGATGGGGATATCTGGGTGGTGTTGTTTGTTATGTGTCAACATATTTGAAGTGTTCCCACTCACGTAATGAACAGGTGTCGAACAACGACCACAGACAATCTCACAGGGAACCCAAAGTTATCCCACACCACTGACTTCTATGACGATGGTGGATCTTCTAATTCTTCGCCACTCTCCATTGTTAGCACTCTCTCGCAACAACACAACCCAACAGCAATACCTTCCCACAGAGTGCAGTTTGTATTTTAAGGTGCCGTTTACTATCTACTATCTATATCCTATTCTACGGACCAATCAGGGCTTGCAGGTGGTATCGGATAAATGGGTCCTGAAGGACACTCCCGCAAAATAACTGTTCCGCTTCCAGATCAATACTAAACCTCCGTACCATGTGTATTCTGCGTGGCAATGTGCGTGCCGAACTGTGACCCCCGTACCGTGATGGTTCGGTACGAATAAATAAACCATGCCGGCCCTAAAATAAATAAATATATATATATACATACATACCCCGGTCTGCGTGGGTTTGCGACCGTCTGACACGTAGTCAGGATTTTTTTAAGGTGTGCAACGATGGTTGCAGAATCTCTGCGCGGGGGGGCGTGGTCGCGCACAGAGACAGATTTGACCGTTGCCGAGGCTATGCATCAGAAGGATAAAT